GCACACTGTTCCAAGATTTCCTGAGAGAGTAAAAAACCTACTTTTTACTCTGCTGCATCATAAGACTAAGACAAAAGATGTATAGAAAGACTGACATTTTGTGAGGATGCCACAGAACAAACACTGTTTTGTTATATTAGGAGGACATAACCATTTGCATGGACACTCTGATTTCTTTCGAATTGCTTATCTTTGAAATCCCTAGATATACTGTGTTTTCATGGGAAGACTACTGGTCTCCCCCCATTCCCCACCAAATTATTGTTATATTCTTTCAGCACTAACTGGATCATTAGTAGGTTTTTTTTGTTTGCAAATTTTTAATTTTTGCACTTTTTTAGGATGTGAACAAACTAATGAAGTAATAAGTAAGTAATAGTTGTAAAATATAATAGGATCAGTGGTTAGTGATCTTCATCGTAAACTTGTAAGTAAATGTCTCAAATAATATGTAAAAAAATGTTTTATGGAAAATTTAGCATGTATCTCAAACCTAAGATCTAGTGAACGTTTTATGTTTGGCCTATATTTTTTTCTGTTAATCTCCAGCATAATGGAGTATTTCACTGGAACAGAAGGATTTATGTGGAATTAAAGTTTTCCGTTTAAACCAAAAGTCTTATCCTTAAATTTATAAACTACTCTTTTAAACCTATTTAATTACTTTAAAATAGTTAAATAGAAAGACAATAGTATGTCTTAAACATTCTAATGCAGAGTTTCCTTATGTACTAATGACAGTTAAGTTTGCATAAAGAAGATGGATCCAGCTATCTGAAACAGAAAAAAGCTCTTGGTACAAAGGATTTTGGAACTGTCCTGGCACAGCACATCCATGCAACAGGTGGAAGTGCCTCTTTGTTGTTTTTGGTTTTGGTTTTTTTTGTGTTTTTAAACAAGGATAAATAAATACATCAGAATTTCCAATTATGAAAAATGTTGAGCTGCATTAAGTAATTCTATATTGTGAAACAAAATCAGTGCAGTATTGATTAAATGATTTACATGCTGTTCTAGTACTCTTGTATATGCGATGTAGATTTAATAAAAAGTGAGACATGTTGCGCTGGCACTTGCGGGAGAAAGGATGTATGGCAAAATTTAGGAAAGACTGATTGGTCTGGGTAAAACATTAAACTCGGTATGGGTCTGTCTGGATGTTTTGTTAATTCTTTGAAGCATATGCCTTAGTTATTTTAGAAGGAATACTTTTCCCTCCTGGTCTTGGCCCTTCTCATGTTTGCTTTCACTGGTGCTTGGATTTTTTTGTGAGCCAGAGTTTGGACCTCTTGAAAAGGTCAGAGAAAGCTTGAATTTTTTCCCTACCAGTCTCTGGCTGGTATAGGATTTCCCTGCAGCCAGCAATATCAGGACTGTTGGACATTTCGTGACTTAACAAATTGGCAGATTGGAGAACATGAGGAAGAAAAATTGATTAAAGTTTCCTACTCATGTTTATAAAAATGTGAATTGGGCTCTACAGTTTTCAGGGGAGTTTATCATTACAAGAATGCTTGTTTCTACAGTGCTGTGATGAGTAGGAAGGAGGGCAGCCTGCTGAAATTCGAGGTGATTTGGTTGAGAAGCTTAACAGTTTATTGAGCTGTATTTCTGGTAGTGCTGACTCTGGATCATGAGGGGGACAGAATTAAAGTCCTTAGTAGCCTGTGTGCACTCAAGGGCCCAGTTAGGTCCATGCTTTGAGGTGTCTCTGGATGTGATTGCAGAGTGGCATGAAAACAAGTCCGACAATGTGGAAAAAACAAGGCAGTATATCCTAGGCATCTTTTGCAAACCTTGATGAAAGCCCCCTTGAAAATGCTGTCAAGCTGCTTGAAGGCGTCTGAGAGATTTTCCTATTCTGAAACTTGGGTTCCTAGGAGAAGAATGGTTTTTTTTCCTTCATTCTTCAGGAAGTGCTAAGTTCTGATCCCCTGAGACTGAAAACAGTAACTTTGTTCAGACGTGACATCAAGGTGGATTGCTTTAGACTTGAACAGTGGCTAGAAAACCAGTAAGCTGTGGTCTCTATTCTTATGCAGGTGTTCTGTATACATATATTTATATATATATATATGTTATATTTTACATGTTATGTATTATATATTTCATCAGAATGTCTGATAAGACTGCATAGACTTGATTATTGTAAAAGTTCTCATTTGTTTTAGCTGAATACTCAGGCACCTCTTTAAGTGTATTTCTGTTTTCTGTTTATAATGCCTTGGTTTATGATACAAGGAATTCTGCGTATCTGAGGTGAGTTGCTTCTAGCTACTGTCTCTCCAAACAGCAGTTCAGACCTTTGATTTGAATGTCCATATTCACAACTGTGGTGGAGTAAGGAATTTTTGCTCTAGAATTCTTTGTGCCAGTATGGGTAATGCTGGCATTTATATGGATGTTGTAGTGGTGTAATAGTTACAGACATTAGTTTTGTATTAGCAGTTCTGGCGTAGGACTTAGGCCATTTAAGGACCTAGGTAAAACTTTTGTGTATATCAGTCAAGGTAACTGTTGAGTCTCTCTTTTGAGAGTTGAATGCAAAGTTTGAACTTAGAAGCCTGTTCCGACCGCTGAAATGTTGCATAGGTCATGTATGGGTGTATCCAATAGCAGGTATGTTGATCAGGAAATGTGTTTGCTTCAGTAGTTGCCAGCACCTGGACCGCTAACTTCATATGCTGTGTTTTTCTGTCTCTTGAATGATGAAGTGAATTGTCTTAATATAACTAGAAACCGAGTTGATGGTGAGAGTGAAATGTTCTGAAACCATCACTGGGAAGCACTGCATGCCAGTTTGCTGAGCATCCAGCTGAATCACCGGCATAACTTCTCAACGATCTCAGCCCCTTGCTCAGCATTATAGCCTTTTGGGAAAAGGGGGGACAATATGAAAACATTTCCATTCTTCAAATTTTGCTGAATTGTAATACTTCATTGTCACTCAGTTACATTAAATGATCCACATATGGTTTAAATAAGCAGCCAAAGTAGTGTACCTTTCTTTTGACTATTCTATTAAAATCTATTTTTTTTCTTTTATACCTGATCTATGAAGTTGAAATATCATGTGCTGGCTGTTACACCAGTTAACAATTTGCCATACAATCCTGTTATCAGTAACATTTCTTTGGACACTTCAGCTGTTCAGGATGTAGTTTTCTACGCTAGCCTGTCCCAGGCTGAAGTTTTAGAAGTTGCTGTTTTTGAGGATGGGATGGAGGAAAACTACCCTTCATCTAGGTAAACACACAGTTGTATCTGAACTGTTTGTTACTCCTTCTGTGGTTTGGAGTAAGGCTTGAAATCTACAAGGAATTCTCAAGAGTGTTCCTTATATTGCTTTCAAGACAATTCAGCTAAACAAAGTTATCAGCCTCCAAAATTCAAAACTCTTGGATGGTTCTACTTGGTTCTTCCAATGCTGTGGTGCAGGTGACAGCACTTGCAGAAAGGTAGATGTCACTGTGCCTCTCTAGCAAGTAGGAACTGTAGTTTTGTCTGTAGAGTGGAGAATTGTAATTCAGGAGAATAGGAAAAGGATTAATAGTCCTTGCTTGCAGGTTGTTTGTTTGTTATCTGGGGAATGATTAAGGGCTTAGTTCTGCCCTCACGTATCCATTGCAGAGAAATTAGTGCAGTGGCTTTCAGAGTATAACTACTGGTCAGTGTAAGATTAAGGGACAAAATTAAGAGCAAATTAATATAATCAAAGAACTGGATTATTTGTACTTTTGTTTGTTTAATTAGTAACACTACAAAAGGGTGTTTGTGGTGTTTCAGTATTGATCTCATTGGAAGCCTCTGATAGCCCCTGGAATAGGACATCATTTTAATTGGAAAGCAGAAAAAAAACCCTTGTATTAAAGATGGCTGCTTTTACAGGGGTGGTTGAGTCCCCATCCCTGGAGGTATTTAAAAGAAGTGTAGATGTGGTGCTTAGGGACATGGTTTAGTGGTGGACTTGGCAGTGCTAGGTTAATGGCTGGACTCGATCTTAAAGGTCTTTTCCAACCTAAACAATTCTATGATTCTATAAACAAACCTTCTGGCAAATACAAACAGTACAGTACACACAAGCAGTGTGATCAGATTTATAAACTCTATAGCTTTTTTAAAAGGCAAAATATTAAGGTGACCATTTAAATTAACCTATGCTGCTTAATGACTACTGAAAGTTGCTTTTGTAACAAAAAGGATAAAGAATGTTGTAACAGATAATTATTCTTCAAAGTTGTCAAACCGTTACGGATCTCACACTGATCTCCCAGTACCTGAATAAGATCGTACAGTCGTACTTGGTCATAGCACTGATCAGTCAATCAAGAATGTTGCTCTGGGGGAAGTGGGAGCTGCCTTTTGGAGTATACAGTAAACCTATCCCCTCTCCCCTACCAGATTGTGACTTTAAGAAAAATTAATATAGTTAAAGCATGAGTTTAGGTATATGGCAAACCTCTTAGACCCTAGACAGGCCTGTGAGATTACACTGTGGGAGGTGTAAGATTTTTGTAGCTGTATGTTATTCAGGGAAGTAAGCAAACACCAATAGATGCTTCTGGCCTAGTCTTCAAATTGAGGGGTTTTTGGGAAGATGTTTCCCTCCTCACCACTCTTCCACTTTTTTTGAAATAATATGTGTTCCTGAGTTTGCAGAAAGGAGACGTGCCTGAAGGGCAGTAGATGGAGGAAGTTCAGATGGTAGGGTGTGAATTTCTAGAAAAGACAAGAGGAAAGGCCGCTTTCAGACTGTACTCAATCTACCCAATAAAATTTCACGTGCACCTAATCTATATGATATGTCTTTCTGCAGTAGAACTGAAGAAAGTTGCTTTTTGAATTACACATCCTGAAAGTATTGATCTTTAAGGCTGAGGCTGTGTATGCTTTAAATTTTAACGTTCCTCTTCTTTCTGTCTTTCT